CTTTCTAAGGTAGGTAAAATGAGGACCCGGTTTGTGGGGGCAATAAGCTGACTTTGTATAAAATATACAAAAGTATGAAGGCTATTGCTTAACACCTTGTAAGTCGCCCTGAGTCTCCGGAGAAGGGCGGCATATAAATCAAAATAAAAAAAAAATCATTAAATTGCCTTCTGGAGTGTAAGATCCATTAAGGAGTATATTAATAGTGTTTTATAGCATGTCCAGAAAATTACTGGAGAGTAATCCACACAAACAGGAATGCAGTGGCTCAGTGGCTAAAATGCTGAGCTTGCCGATCGAGAGGTCGGCAGTTCAGCGGTTCGAATCCCTAGTGCCACGTAACGGGGTGAGCTCCCGTTACTTGTCCCAGCTTCTGCCAATCTAGCAGTTTGAAAGCACATAAAAAATGCAAGTAGAAAAATAGGGACTGCCTTTGGTGGGAAGGTAACAGCGTTCCGTGCGCCTTTGGCGTTTAGTCATGCCGGCCACATGACCACGAAGACATCTTCGGACAGCGCTGGCTCTTCGGCTTTGAAACTGAGATGAGCACCGCCCCCTAGAGTCAGGAACGACTAGCACATATGTGCGAGGGGAACCTTTAGCTTTAATCCACACATACAAACACCCTCTATGCCCATATGCTCTTTTCTTCCAGAAGTATAAAATTTCTGCTCACTTATTTTTAGCATTATTGTCCTGCTTGGTTAGTGTGAATTTAATTGTTCAGTATATTTTATGTAATGAAGTCAAGTTGCTTTGATCAGTGACATCTGAAGAATAACCACATGATTTAAAGAACACAACAGCTAATTCAGCACATTTCAATCACTTGGCACCTCAGATCTTTGGGGCTATATATGCAACTCATCATCTTCTCAAGAGCATCTAAACAGCTTCCAAATCTCGTCAGGACCCATGACTTCGGTAACAGCATGAAAATAGCAGCAGCATATCATTTTTTTAAAAAAAAAAAAATCTATATACATGAATTTGTTTTTATTAGTATTGGACACTTTTCTTTAATCGCCTGAATAAAAGAGGGAAAAAAAATCAGGTGTTTTGTTTGTTTATTAATATAATTCACATGAAGTGGCAGTTTTAAAAAATCTTCTGAAAGAAAGAGGAAAGAAGGCCAAGATTTTCATAAGATTCAATGGTTTGTTGAAGGCTCCATCGCATCTCGACGTCACTAGTGTCGGGGGCACCTGTGGCAACCCGAATGCTCTGCCAGCGGAAATGAGCTCCCAAGCTCCGTTTTGGGCTGCAACCGCCTCCTGCAACACTCTGTCAGCAAAAACAGAGCTTGGGAGCCCATTTTCGTTGGCAGAGGCATCACGGGCCAGTCCTTCGCTATTTCCAGGATGGCCCACTGGCCAGATCTAAGCACCTCATGGGGATTATGGGGTTGCTAAAAGAAGATGATGGTGCATGTTAGTCCTTTGCTGAGGACTTGTCTGGGCTACCTTCTTCAGATATCAGAAGGTCTTACATTCACTTCAGTTGATGTCCATGGCGATCCATAGCCAGCAAAATACTTAGTTGATGCAGACCTAGGATATTTAGATGATCCCAGCAAATTCTTTTTTGGAGCCTCCTGACCTATATTGTTGAGATATATCTTTGGAAGATCAATATATGGACACTGGATTATATGTCCGTGTTTCTGTGTGCAATTGTGTTAGGAAGAGAAAGAACAAAGCCCGTTAAAGAAAACCACTACCATCTTCCAACTCTTGTTGGGTTAAAAGGTAATAAAAGCTGGGAATTTATCCTGAGTCTTCGGGAACTTTATTGGATCATATTCCCTATGGACAATTTTTTAAGTGTGCTCCCAAAGGTGACATATATTCTGTATCAGCTATGTTAGCAACTAGGCAGTTTACTTCTGAAGCTAAAATAAATTATTATTATAGCTAATAATGAATTAATTTTAGAACTTTAACTAGCCCTAAAATGAACCACGGACATCTTCCATGTTTCTGCTGGAGAGATCTACCAGGGTGACAAGGATCAAAGAGGTTGACCGCATGTCAATGGAATGCCCTAACAAATAGATCAGTGGTGGGTTCCTCCCGGTTCGGCCCGGTTCAGCCGAGCCGGTAGCGGTGACGATATGACATCACTGAACCGGTTCTGCCCCCCCCGCCCCCCACCCCTCCTGCATTATTCTTACCTTTTATTTGGGCCCTCCCCTAATCTATTGCTGCCTCCTGAGTCCCAGCTATTGGCTAGAGGGGAAAAAACTGTTTAAACTCTTGCCACGGGGCTTCAAAGGGCCGCCCAACAGCTGATCAGTGGTAAAAGAAAACAAATGAGTGGACCAATGCCTGCAAAAATAAATGGGTAGACCAGTGCCTGCAAAAATAAATAGGTAGACCAGTGCCTCCAAAAACAAAATGAGCAGACCGGTACAGCTCTGCAAGCAGTTAAAATGGGATAAATGGGATAATGGGATAAACACTCTGATGGGATAAATGATTTTAATTTGGTTTTAATGGGGTTTTAAAATTGGTTTTAAAATGAGAGTTTTAAATTCGGCCCATGATTTAATTGTTTTAATCTGCTCTTAAATTCTATTTTTGTACATTGTTTTTATTATGGCTGTTCACTGCCCTGAGTCCTTCGGGAGAAGGGCGGTATAAAAATAAAATAATAAAATAAAATAATAAAATAATAAAATAAAATAAAATAAAATAAAATAAAATAAAATAAAATAAAAGCCTGGTAGACCAGTACCTCTGCTAAATCCTAAAGAATTGTCACATAATCCTCAAGCCACGCCCACAAAATAAGCCATGCCCACAGAACCGGTAGTAAAAAAATTTAGAACCCACCCCTGAAATAGATGAGTAACATTATGATTTGTTATGTCTCACAGACAGGTTAGTGTTGGGTCTGAATTTTTTCTGATGCAAGATGAAAAGAGAGAAAGAGAGTTTAATTCAACACACACATACAGCATGGACCAAATTTTTGGTGACCCATTTTCAGCCTTATTGTTCTTCTGTATTTGCTTATTCCAGTGATGGCTAACCTTTTCCGGACTGAGTGGCCAAAGTGTGTATGTACTCATGCGAATGTGTGCGCCCAAACCCCCAAAATGTAAAATGCAACCCCACCCAGTCGTGCATGCCCCCTGCATGCCTTGCCGCAGTGCATGTGCATGGCCCCCCGCACAGCCCCTGTCACTGCATTCTTTTATTTACCAGCTGAGCTCTCATTTCTGGACTATCAGACTTTCCGTAGCTTGCCAAGAATTGTTATCAGTAAGCTAAACTGCGCATGTCCACCCCACATTCCTTCACATTTTTTCCCTTTGTTCTCTTGCCAGAATTCCGGCTGCTGAGAAGCAGCTGGCACGAACTTTATTTTCAAAATGTAACTAATTAGATCAGTTAGGTGTTTTATTTTCTTTATAACAAATAAATGAGTTTTCTTAGAAAATATCTTTGGGTTTTGTTTTCTTAAAGTATGCTTGCAAGGAAAGGTCTCGATCCACCCCTCGTAATCAGGTACGATTATCCCAAAAGCAGAATGGGATTAATCAACGCCCTGACAGCCCCGGCCCTCCGCGCATGTGCGGCAGAGATCCGAAGACCAGCTGGCCAGTGGGAGGGGCACGTGCATGCACGGTGGAGCTGAAATTGGGCCGATGGCTCACGTGCCCACAGAGCGGGCACTACATGCCACCTCTGGCACGTGTGCCATAAGTTCGCCATCACAGACTTAGTCTGAACTTAATTGTTCAGTATTTTAATTTTATGTAATAAAGTAAACTGCTTTGATCAGCGACTTTGGAAAAAACCACCACATTATTTAGGCAACAACAACAACATGCTACTTCAGCATCTTTCCGTCTCTTGGAACATCAGATCTGAGGGTCAATCCATGCAATTCATCACCTTCTCAGGAGCATCCAGACAGCTTCCAAGTTTCAGTGGTTGAGTCCCATGACTTCCAGCCACTGCATAAGAATATCAGTAGACGCATAAGAAGTCATTGTCCCAAAAGAAAAACTTTTAAGATGGCCAGCAAAGCGTGACCTAGCCACTCTTTTAAAAACATGGCTCCAACTGGGGTTAAAATATAGTTAGTTGGATGGGTTGGGTTTGTTTGTGAAATTAAATTCAACCATGATACAAACTGTCCTTGCACATCACATTCAATTCACAGCCTTAGACCCCAAACCAACTGAATAAACCCACAACTGACTGTACTTATCCAATACCAGGGGTCCAACTATCATATTAAAATATGACATTGAGGTCAGGGGGGAAATGTAAAATTTGTTACTACCAGTTTTGTGGGTGTGGCTTGGTGGTGGTGGGTAATGTGACTGGGGTGGGCCTGGCCAACTTTTTTTTTTTTTTAACTTTTCAGAGCATTTTTTCTAATGCTTTGAAAAGCCTCTCTGACGATCAGGCAACTCAGCTGGGATCGTCAGAGACTTTTCAAAGCATTTTTTTTAACCACCTTTTCGGCCAAGAGGTTGCAGAAAAAAATGCTTTGAAAAGCTTCTGACGATCCCAGCTGAGCCGCGCCATCATCAGAGGCTTTTTTTTTTACTTTTAAAAGCATTTTTTCATCAGAAGAGATGGTAGAAAAAATGCTTTTAAAAGTTAAAAAAAAAAGCCTCTGATGATCGTGCGGCTCAGCTGGGCATGGTGGTGGGGGGAGGGGGGTGCAGGGATTTTTGCTACCGGTTCTCCGAACCACCCGCCACCATCGCTACTGGATCGGGCGATCCAGTCCGAACCAGGAGCATTTCACCCCTGATTGAGGTACACATAATGTTCTTGACATCTCTGAACCAATTCCAAAACAAATGATGCTTGTCAAAATAAACTGAGATTACCATATCAGGGGGCTGCAAAGAGATTTCATCTGTTTTCTGTATCCTGTTCCTAATACATCGTTCCCATTCACCTTTTGTAATAGCCATAGCACTTAAGCTTATATGCCACTTTCATTAGAGGGGGGGAGGGGGAACAAAGACAAGATTGTCATGACAATCAGTGATTTATTGGAGATTCATCACCTGGGAATATAGTGTTACATTAGTGTTATATTAGCTTGGACACTAAGCATTAGTGGACACTTAATGCTTAGTGCCCAGGCATTAAGATGCAAATGGTTCACCAGGGTACTTGTCGACCTAACCAGTCCACAAAGGATCCATTATCCTTCTCAGAAAGCATGGAAAGCACAGCCATGATGCCTTGTGTGCTCTCTTCCACCGATAGATCCGCCTGTAACAAAAGAAAAAAAGAAAAAAACTCATCAGTACAGCCCAGCTTCCTATAATGGTATGTGGGATAACCCTTGGGAGACAGGAGGAAGAACCACAGACCAGACAATGGTTAGATAAGAGGCAGCTGAACCTGCAGAAGAATGTGGCAGACGTCTCAGAAATGACCTTCCCTGGTTTCTTGGACTGTAAAAGTGAGTGGGTAGAGATGTACCTTCAGTCTTGCAAGATTCTGTTAATATCATTTTATAATAAAATAGAACTAGCACTGATGGATGCGGTTCTTGTCTGAATTACTTCACAAGGCTGATATCAATCTTGCAAGTCTGAAGGTATTTACCATGGGTAAATACAGCCACAGGGTCAACCGGCAGACTGGGCAACACCAGTGGTGGGTTTCTACCGGTTCAGACTGGTTCGGGCGAACCGTTAGCTCCGACTTTCAGCCATGAGGGAACCAATTCTCTCATTCTTTGAAGTGGGCCTGCCGGCCCGCCCCTGCATTATACTCACCTATATTTCTGCTTCCAAAGCCCAGCTGATCGGGGCGGCAGAGTGGATTGCCACTCCTCAGCTGTTTTCCTTGCTCTCAGCAACGCAGAAGTTCAATTTTCTGCAAACTGCACACCCACGCGCGCTCAGCAAACCGGTTGTTAAACCAGTAGGATCCCACCCCTGGGCAATACTTATCTCAACGTCTTTGACAAAAGCCTATCCCGTCCTTTCTAGGTTTTGGGTTCTGCATTTAAGTGCTTCTGGTGCTTCTAAAGCTCCATGGTATGATTTTTGCCTTCTGTTCTTCTTCTTGTGCCGTATCCGTCATCGGACGTTGATAATCATGTTGGCCATCCTATTTTTATCAACCGCCGCATGAAAAAGTGCTGCTGAGTTTGGTCCAAACCAGTCCTTTAGATTTTGAAGCCATGATCTTCTTCTTCTGCCTGGACCTCCTTTGCCTTCAATCTTTCCCTGGACGATTAAGTGAAGGATGCTGTATTTTTCCGGATGTCGCATTTTTGCCATAGGGTAAGATTTACTTACTCAAGTTTTCTGACTATAGGAATATTCTTTAAGTAGCTCAAACTGGCAGAGATTCCATGAAAGAAAGTTGGTTACATACATTTTCTTTGTAAGAAAAATAGAAAGGAAAGCTTGTTTAAAATCTATATTCCGTTTGCGTAGTTAATGTTGCCAGTCCTCTGTCATCTTCACACATAACACAAATTGCTAATTTAACTAATTTAGCTAATTTAACTAATTTAACTGTACGACGAGCAGCATTTGCCTAATATTCATGAGTTTGCTTTAGTATATTTTTGTCAGCACGTCAAAATGCATTTATCCTAGTGCTGACATAAGAAGGAGAATGCAAGTGTCTGCAACGGGACGGTTGCCTTTCACCTACTTATTTTAGCTGGAGATAATGTCCCCTAGGAGATGGATGGGAGGGGGGGAATTCTTTGAATTGGAGCAGTAGATTAGGGGTGAATGATTGGGAAGTTGGCCAATGAATGCAGAGGAATGGGGGAAGGAAGAGGAGGGATTTTGGGTCAGCGCGTCAGTGCTGGCTGCATGGAGTCAGTGTAAAAGTTGCCGTGCTAAATAAAATGGAAGTTTGTTTCAAAAAAGACTTTGTTTGAGACGCAATTTATTTGAAGACGGCCTGAAAACCTGACAATTTTCCTAGTTAATACAATAGAAAACAAAATACGAAAAACACACATAATCAGTACAGCAAAACTATCAGGCGCTTGTCATTAGGTCATTGATGCATGTCTGAATAGGTTTTCCTTTTCCCAGGTTAAAGCACTTGCCTCTTTATAATTCGTCCTCACCCAGCCAGGATGGATGCAGACGGACAGAATCCCGTAGCGTGGATACTCAAGTGACTGGCATTTGGCGAGCATGTTTAAAGCAGCCTGGCAGGGACAAATAACAACAGTGAGCAGGGAAGGCACTGAAGAGACGATAGAAGGGAAAAAATGTGATGAATTAATACAGGATATTAGGTGTATCAGTCAGGAAATGAAAGCGGTAGGAAGCCCTTCAGAATTTATCTAGGCATCTCCCCATGGCTCCAAAGGCAATGGCAACTGCAAAGAGACAGGAATGAAATTTCAGAGCTGCCACAGCTTTATCTAAATCTATTTTTTTTTCCTAAAAGAATCTGGGTAAGACACTAACAAAATGCTCAGCTATCTACAAAGGGGGTGGACGGATGGATATAATTATAATTAATAATTATAATGAATTCAATCTCTTATATTTTCTTGGGCACTTTTACAGTTCAAATGCAGAGGGTTAGAATTCTGGTCCCATCAATTTATTTACTGTTTATCTATTTATTTATTGGATCGATTTATATGCCGCCCTTCTCCGGAGACTCAGGGCGGCTTACAATGTGTTAAGCAATAACCTTCATACTTTTGTATATACCTGCTTAGTTGGGCTTTCGGCCCCCCTAAGCGGTGTTCTTTTTTTATACAAAGTCAGCTTATTGCCCCCACAAACCGGGTCCTCATTTTACCTACCTCGAAAGGATGGAAGGCTGAGTCAACGTTGAGCCTGGTGAGATTTGAACTTGCAGTAATTGCAGGCAGCTGGTGTTACTTAACAGCACTTTAGTCTGCTGCGCCACCAAGGCTCTTGGTCAATCAATCTCTACAAAAGTCTTCAAACTTTGCCCAAACATATTTAGGGATGTTTGGGATCATGGGGGTTTGTCTATATGGCTAACAGCTTGGATGCGAACTCCTTCCGAGAGGGAAAACAGGTGGATAATAAAAACCTGCCTATTCCCCAGGTAGATACAGGCAGGTCCAGTCATTAGGTTTTGTCTATGGGCAGGAACTTTCATAAAGTCATCACCTTACTGCTTGTTACCTTACTGCAACGGTAGCCAATGACTTTCCACTTATCCCAAAGAAGCATCACTTCCATGGATCCTGCAGAACTGGAGATATTGATAATGGCCGCTTGTCTGCTGCTCAGCTCTTGACATGGACTTCTCCAGGCTGCCTTCTTCAGCAGGGGCAGAAAGGCCTTTCAAGAGGGATAGAATAAAAAAATTTTATTGCCCAAGAATATGCCTCAGTATACATTTTCTATTTGTGATGACTTCAGTAACATAGAATTTAATTGATTAGTATTTTAGCCTTATTTAATAAACCGGACTTGCCTTGAAAGGTAGTTCCGAAAACTTAAATTAAAAGTTAACAAACCTGACTCATTAGTAGAGGGCCGATGGTGTTGATGGAATACACCGTCATCATATCCTTGGCATTTTCTGTTTCAAGGTCATTGAACAACCCAATGCCAGCATTGTTGATGAGGAGGGTCAGCCCGCTTTCTCCAACACACTTTTCCACTTCCTTCAGAGCTGCCTGGATGCTCTCAGGTTTAGTGACATCTGTGGAACGATAACATTGCTTGAAACACAACAGTATGCCATTTCAGAATTGCTAGGGAGGACTTCCCTTCAAACTTGGATTTGTGTATCCATCCATGCAACCGGGTATCTTGGCAGCTACCAGCCCCCAATAGATGAGGCATGGATCAGTCAGCAGCAAATGATATTGTCTAAATATCAGAACTTTAAGGTCATACACCCGGTCACTCTTAAAAACTGGGCTCCAAGCAGACCTGAAACAAAATCAGTTACCGGTAGTCGGGTTTGATTAGTGAGATCAAAGATCAATTGTGACACAGAGTATCTTTGCACATGTTAAATTTTATATTTTATTGACAAAGAAATAAAGTGAGACTAGTATAGATCTATTTCGTGCTATTTAGCTCTTGTCAGCTAGCCATACCCTTCTGGGATTTGAACTTGGGCTACTTACATATTATTAGGTAGATGTATTAACCTCTAAGCCACAGGTTCTCCTCTCTTTGTCGGCTATACCAGGGGAGAGATTAAGTGGAAGCAGTATGCTCCGTCCCATATTTGGGTAGACCAGGTTGCCCTGATTAAAAAAAAACAAAACACCAATCTCTCCCCTGGTGTAGCCGACAAAGCCAGGAGTGCCAGTAGCTTAGAGGCTAATACATTTACCTAATATGTAAGTAGCCCGAGTTCGAATCCAGAAGAGTATGGCTAGCTGATGAGAGCTAAATAGCTTGAAATAGATCTATACTAGTCTTCCTTTATTTCTTTGTTGGTATAAAATATAAAATTTAACACAAAAATAGTTTGACGTGAAAGTGACTGCCTGTCAAGGCCCTTGGATTGGGCCTAAAAGGTGAAAGCGGAAGCAGTATGCTCCACCCATATGTGGGTAGATCACGTTGCCCTGATTAGAAAAAAAACACCAACCCCCCTGTTAGGATATGGTTTGAGCCTAACAAGTTGTCCAGGCAATATATGTGTTCTGTGACTTTAATATGAATATGTATTATGTGACTTTAAAGTTTTACTGCTGATTCATTGTAATGCTGAGTCATGCTGTAATTAGATAATCACTGGTTGTAAATGTATTTAAGAAAGGTACGGTAACATATTCAGTTGATGATATGCTACCATAGTGTGTGGAGTTGCTATCATTGTGCTATCATCGTTGGATGGATCTGCTACCATCGTGGTTTGTGAACCAGAGTGAGTTTGTTATTCTAACCAGCTACTGTTTGTGTGGTAAGAAGATTTTTGTATCACTGGACTGATTTAACTGGCAAAGACTTGGATTGATTTAAAGACTATGAGATTGTTTTTTCACTATAAAGTAAGCTTTTGATAAACCAATTTGCACATCTCTTATTCATTGCTCTCAGCAACGTTTCTCTGTGCTCTACACTCTGCTGGTTGGTAACACAACAACGATATCCTTAACACCCCCCCCCACATCTTAGCACATCATACTCAAATCCCACCCACGATTTCTGCTACCGGTTGGGGTGAACCAGTCCAAACCGGCTGAATGCCACCTCTGCCTGGGGCTCTCCTATCAGGGCTGCAAAGAGACTTCATCAACTTTCTCACTCTTGTTCCTGACATGTCATTCTCATCAGTATTTTGTAACCCAGAGTTTATGGCTGTAACTCATTCTGCTAATTGACAAACTACACAACTGGTTTCATTTACAAACCACATAGCAGCCAAACCCCAAAAATCCCACCATCAGTAGCCAAACTTTAAAAAAAAAAAACAGCAGAGTCACTAGCTGGGTTCACCACTACTGACTCTGCAAGTCGTGTTAGTTCCAAGAATGGCTTCCAGTATGATACTTTGCACCTTTGTGTAGTACAAAATGTGTCCTATTTGCACAGGTTTCTGGAAACATACCTAACTGCAACACCACCAGATTTGGATGTTTGCAAGCCAACTCTTTCACCTCCTAGAGGGAAAAGAAAAGATCATAGGTTTTTTGGGGGTCAGTTAAAACTCACAATTATATACAAGAAGCAGATAATAATCTGAGCAGGATTTTAAAGAGGACAATATTTTTAAAAAAGAGGAAAGGTGTACCATTTCTTCTTTACTAAATGGTAGCTGTAGAATTTTATTAGCTGAACAGAACAAAACCTTCAGAAATTAAAAGTTGTAATTATACATATCAGGAGCAAGGAACAAGCAGAGCAAGATTCTAAAAAGAATAATATTAAAAAGTGGACCAACCAGGAAAAGTATGAAGTGACCTTTTCATTAAATGCTAGCTGTGCAATATTACCATTCCAATAAAACAAATGGAAACAAACCACTTTGAAGCTTAACATAATGTGTGAATTCATTCAGTACGGATAGAGTCCCCAAGGAACACTGCATCTCTCACTGCTACCTCTGATTTTCTTAATTGGAACAACCAAAGCCTGTGCTGCAGAGGATAATCTGAAGGAGACCGCCTTCTGCCACCAATAGCCTCCCACCGGCCAGTACGCTCGCACAGAGTGGGCCTCCTCAGGGTGCCGTCCGCCAGACAATGTTGGCTGGCGACTCCCAGGAGGAGAGCCTTCTCTGTGGCGGCGCCCACCCTCTGGAACAACCTCCCCCCAGAGATACATACAATAACAGATCTCCGGATTTTTCGTCGGGCCCTGAAAACCCATTTATTTCAACTAGCTGGGCTGGCTTGAGTTAAATTTTAAATTGATTTTAAATTGGGTTGTTTTAATTTAGGGCCAAAATATTTAATTATTTTAAACTGCTTTTAAATTTTGTATGTACTGTTTTTTACTTTGGCTGTTCACCGCCCTGAGTCCTATTTGGAGAAGGGAGGTATAGAAATAGGAACAAATAAATAAATAAATAAAATAATCTGGCCAGCTTGCTCACCTCTGCCATTCCAACTGTCACTACAGGATAAGATAATGGATGTAAATCTTTTGGGTGATTTGCTACTCAGTTTTCAAGGTCACATTTTCTTCCATCTTTCATCTGGAAGCTTAGTTAGCGTAGATGGTACTCTTAATTCTTTTCTCCCCAACAACCACCTTTGGGAACAAGTAAGTGTGGGGATACTCAAGAGGCCCCCAATCACCTGTGACCTCCATGGCCAATTGAGGTCATTCCAGTCTCCATTCAACACAATAACTATGGTACCCCATTGTCCGCCTAGATTAGGTGATTCTCACCTTGGTTTCTTTTCCTTCCAGGTCAAGGGTTGTAGCAAAGACCCATTTGGGTGGAGAAGGCAGCTCCAGAAACCTCTTCACCAGACCCAGACCAATTCCCCGATCAGATCCTGTCACCAGAACACTGAAAACACAGAAATCCAATGATGTTGCCATCTCTCCGGGAGCTGCGGCTTCTGCTTTCCAACCTGCCTGGAACACTTTTCTTCAAATATCTCTTCATTTCATTGGAGGGACTATAATAAGAAACATGACACACCCACTTTTAAAAGTGTTGAAAAACCTTACTAGCCTGTCTTCAAGAGCAGCATCATTTCTTTTAATCAAAAGAGTAATCCACATAATAAGAAGTAAAGATATATTACCTAAAAAGATGTTTGTGATCCTCGCTTCCACCCATAGCATCAACACACCTTACAGGAGTTATAATTTTGGGTGAATCAATGTCAAATTGAAGACATAGGTGATGCCTGCATGGAAAGAGGAGCTGGCGAATAGATAAATTCCTCAGAATTTCTCTCTGGAGCAAGGACAGGACCAGGATTGGCCCAAAGTGCTCCATACAGCAGCTCCCCATAAGGAAACCATAAGACAGCAATCTTTGGCAGGTTTTAAAAGCTCTGGAAGTCAGGGAAAAATCATTTCACTACCTAAACTGTACTTTGGTGTCCTCAAAAAAACCTCTGGGTTTGCATATTTTCTTTCTTGAGAACCCAGCCTAGAAAGGCCCTTAAAACAACAACCAGATGCAAAGTTCAAATGAAAGAACATTCCTTGTTTCTACCTGGAAGGAGTGACCAATTATTACTCCCATGGCCCTTTCAAGGACAGGGATATAGATGGCTTTGCCAAGATTGTAACGTACACAATGATGGGGGAATACTGAAACACCCACAATAGAAGAATGGAGTGTGAAAATGGCAAGTCTGGCGAAAATGGAAAAATTCATCCGTCTGGATAAGGACAAAACAATAAGTAATTTTATAAAAGACTGGAAACCTTGTGGACATTTTTGATGGAAATGGCAAAAAATGAAGTAATAATGAATTCTGGATTTGATGACTAAAAGAAGAATGGAATAAGGGATTTTGTAATATTGAAGAGGTAAGAGGGATAATGACTTTCTTTATAATTGTTGAAAAGACGTTTGGAAGTTGCTTGTATTTTCTGATTCTTGTTTCTTTAATTATCTTTCTTTTCTCTTTTACTTGATTTTTTTCTCTACTTTTGCATATGTGTGTGTATGTGGATTTTCATATGTGTTTTTATAGGGATATGTTTGAAGAATATGTTCTGAAAAAATGTTTGAAACTAATAGATTATGGTACAGGCTTGATGTAAAGTTCAATTCCTCATCCTCTCACATTACATTTGAGACATTGAAGAATACTGGTTAATTTTTTTTAAAAAAAATCCTTCTGAAAGAAAGAGAAAACAAAACTAAGATTTTCATGACATTCAATTATTTATTTATTTGTTGCTTCTCAACAAATTTATTTATTATGAGACAATGACAGTGAGATGAGATGGATGGATCACCAGGGAAGTCGACGACCCAAATAATCCACAAAGGTCCCGTTGTCCTCTTCGCAAAGCTTGGGCAACACAGTAATGATGCCTTGGGTGCTCTCTTCCACGCTGATTTCCGGCTGCCACAAAAAAAGATCTCATGAAGTTAAGAGAATCGGTCCTGCCCAGCCCAGAACCCTCCCATAAGCAGATCAGCAGAATGCAGTTCCTGGCCTGACTGAGGCCATTTTGACACTTCAGTGCTGACACACTGGAGCGAGGGATAGAGAGGGGGGAATAGAGATAGTTGGGTATTATAGTCAAAACAAAACACTTTCCCTTGGGAACCAAGGACATTCCAGCAGGTGCTTGAAAGGAGGTGA